GCCTTCATCACTATCTTTACCTTTATCACCGTCATTATAGTTTTCGTTATCATCATTGCCTTCATTATCATTTTCATTTGATTCACTGTAATCATAATCTTCGCTATCATCATCGCCTTCATCACTATCTTTACCTTTATCACCGTCATTATAGTTTTCGTTATCATCATTGCCTTCATTATCATTTTCATTTGATTCACTGTAATCGTAATCTTCGCTGTCATCATCGCCTTCATCACTACCTTCATCATTATCACCGTCATCATAGTTTTCGTTGTCGTCATTGCCTTCATTACCATCTTCATCACCGTCATCATAGTCTTCGCCACCATAATCATCATAATCACCTTCGGTATAATCATCCTGATAAAAAAAGGAAGGAAAAGTGTAAAAAAAAACTGAAACTTTATGTTTTTATACATTTGAATGCTTTTAATATCTTAATATTCTTAGTTAATTTCTTTTTTCTCCTCAATGTTTTGTTGAACCGAAATGAAACGAAAAGCGGCAGATATTCTTTATAATGAATATTTCAATTTCCTATTTATTGCCTATTTGTTATAAATTGTTATGCTCAATTCAAAAGCTATTTTCTGTAAGAGAGTACTGCCGTAATTCACCCAATTTAATTTTCATGTTTAACTTCTTCTATAAATTTTGGGAGGTAAGTTTAAGAAAGTTACATCATTCTCTCCTTCATTTGTTTGTGACGTAGAAGGAACTGTCACAAGAAGAATCATTAAGCCAAACGCTATTAGAAATTTGTTCATTTTTTCTCTCCTAGAAAATTATTATCAGCACTGTATGGAATTAAAATTTACAACAGTTTAGTGCAAGCCGAAATCGAGCATTATTTTTTTTATCATTTTTTCAGCAATTCATTCCATCGATTGATTAAAATTGCAAATAACACGTAAGCTAAATGAAATTGACAATTGCACATCTCCTTCAATGTGACATCTCACTTATGGATTCGATGCAAAAATTACATTTTTTAAATTTGAGCAAAAGTGGAACCTGAACCGGCTTTGATAATTAATACTAAATTTAAAATCAAACTCGAAAATTTAAAATCAAAGCCGAACAAACTCTGATTATTAATGCACAAAAAAGCAAATCGAAAGATTAATTGGCTTTATTTGAAATAATAACAAAGTATAATTAAATGATCAGTAACTTAAAAAAAAAAAATTTCATCTTTTCATGACCACAATTTGATGGCCCTTATATAAAAGTATTAAGTATGCGATTGAACAGGTGCGCCATTATTTGCTTTTTTTTTTGTTTTTAGGAAAAATGATCATTGATTATTTGTAAATATGAATGAAAATATTGCCAACGTACTTCACATATGAATTTGACTTCAAACATGGAAGACAGCTGAATCATTCAGTCTCGTTTCTTTAGATATTGAAAAGTTAACACAGCTGCTAATCAATCAAATCAGTTCATATCTCTGCTTGGTTATTGTCGCCAAAGTGCTCTTCTTTAATATTAATTCCGGATTCAATAAAATTTTCTTTTCATCAGAATGAATTACAATTCCATTCTTCATTCTTCTATTCATAATTTTTTTTTTTTTTTTTTGTAATAACTGGTATGATCAGTGTGTTAATTGTGAATGATTGAACGAATTGATCAGTTCATACTTTTCAATGTTTAATGTAAGGGTTTGATATGAGAGTTCGATATGTAAATACCCATGATTGACTGTATTTGTAATTTTATAGCTTTGTGTTTTTTAAGCATCAGATTTTTAATGGTTCATAAGCTATTATGATTATCGATATCTATTAAAACAGAAAAAAAATTTGAAAATTTTCAAATATATGAAATTGATCTCAAGGAATTTATTAATGTGATGTAAATGATGATGTACATTAGTTTGGCGTTTTTCCACTGTTCCAATATGACGCTTTCATACAATCCGAAATTTCAATGTTATTCAAAAAGGCAAAATATGTTATTTTTTCAGCAACATTATTGTGACTTCAAATGATCTGAGATATCACATTTCCGGATGACAATATTTTTCATGCAAAAACATCAGAAATAACTTTTTTACACATTAAATTTCAGTTCATGAACATTTATATTAATTTTACTCATCTAATTTGTAGGCATTTTGGTAAACAATAATCACTAGTAAGTATGTTGAAAATAAACAAATCAATTATTCCCAATCCAAAACATTTAATCGAATATAATTGCACAGATTATGCTACATTTAAATTAGTTCTTTAAAACTTTATCCAATAAATAAACGAATGAAATGGTTCTCATGAAAAGACTATCACATGATTATATTGAGTTTTTAATGACTGTAAGTTCTATTTTTTGAATCATTGAAATTTAAAATATTTGGATAAGACTATATACAATACGCGGGAGTAGAAGTTCTTCAAATTTGATCCATAGTTTTAATGAAGAGATAATTAATGATTGAAATAAACAGAATCAACGTAGTCCAATTTTCAGTACCAAGCATTAGCCAATTTTAATGACATTAAACAAAGTAAAATGTAGAACATCAAAATGATGGATTAACATTGAACTTTGAATTAAGCGAAGCAGTGAAATGGTGCGATGCTTTTGCAATATTTTTAAAATAAAGACACTGGAAAATTTTCAAGAATTTACCGATGCATAAATTCAGTAAAGCAATAATTTCACCAACAACAATAATAATTTTATCAATGACGGATCTAATAATTGCAAACGACATCACGTCATTACCAAATTCATTAATTAAAGCCATTGCTTGATGATAATGTTGAAGATATGAATAAAAAAGTATCAAAAATCAAAAAAGTGTACATTTGATTGAAATTTTCAAAAATTAGAATCAACAAAAAAAAACAAAACTAAATAAATAACACAGTTGTACAAGTGAAATAAAAACAAATTAAAACTTATTGTAGCATTATCACAAACAAATTTTAACAGTGATAATAAC